CAGGCTGTGGTGGTGGATTCTGACAAATGGTACTTTAGACTCCATGATGAAGCCACCTATTACCATGACAGCACTTTGACATGACTAATGCAATCTGCTACAGAGAAGACTGCTGTGATGCCCTTAAAGCAGTAGAGACAAATGATGAATGCTAAAGAATTTCACCTTGACTGACACAGAGGAATAAACAGTCCATATGGCTTCTAAAAACTGCTCAAGCAAGCCAGCTGCATATTTACTGACAGTTGCACAGGATGCAGGGCATCTGCAAAAATATCATCCAGTATCTCACCATTGAGTAAAAAAACTTTTGGTACCTTAAATTCTTACATATTTGGCTGCAACTCTATATCAATAGAAGACATAACTCATGTACTCCCTGCGTGCCCTTTCTATGACAATCTCAGAAACAATTACATCCACCCATTGCTAAGATCGCAGAGGGGTAGGTCATCTCTTGCAAATACCTGTCTTTTGCTGTCTGATGTTGAGAGAGAGATATCCTTTAGAACATCTAAATTTCTTGTTAAGGCTTTACATATTTCGTGTAACAAAACTTGAGGGGGGAATGGGAAATGATTTATCCACTAGGGGTTGGGGAGTAGAAATGTTTATTAGTAGCAGTATTCCTGTTATTATTATTTTATGTGTGTAATGGCTGCTTGCTAAACACAATAAACCAAATTGACTGACTTAGGTGGAATCTACACACACACACATATATATATAAAAAAACATTCTGAAAATGCTTTATTTAAAAAAAAGCATTTTAAAAAATACATCAAATTTTCCATAAGGCTCACCATCGCCACGTAGTGTCACATTGTATATTGCACTAAAACACACTTAAAACATTTTGTTTGCAGCTCTGTAGCTGAGTCCTTAAACTCTTACTGTATTAAGGCATAAGCTTTCATGACCTAAGTCATCTTGATGTGCGGCAGGAGAGGAACAGCTGTTTACACAACAGCACCAGGGTGGCGTCAAGACACTGTAAACCTTGGACTGCTGCTTGGTTTACTGGAGACCTCTCCTGGCAATGAAACAGAACAGGAGACAACTGGAGCGCTTTGGTTGGGAGGGCATAAGAGTACATAATTGGGCTTGCTGTGCAGCAGCAAGGGCAGCCTTCTTCGCTGCCTCCATCATGCCTTCAAGTATCTGTCCAGCAGAACATCCCTATGAACTCAGTTTTAGAGACATTGGAAGCCCCCTGTGCCATTTTTTGAGTCACTTTGAGGATAAAATTGCAGACTTGAATGCTGCTGCTGATTCAGTGCCTGTTGATATGTCTAATGAATCTTCTTGTGGGATCAGTTTTAGTTGTTGACACCTGCCACCCGCAGCTGTGCAGCAAATCTTATGCTCTTTTGACTCTTGCCCTTCTAGGTCATGTACTACCCATGGCAAAATGATTGGGTGGATTCAGAGCATGAGAGAGTGGTCCACATTGTCTTGGAAGAGATGATGGTGGAAGCTCTCCTTAAAAATAACTACCTTCTCTGGTCATTAAATAGCTCAGTTGGTTAGAGCGTGGTGCTAATAATGCCAGGGTTGAAAGTCTGATCCTCATATGGAACAGCTACATATTTCTTCATTGTAGGAAGTTGGATTAGATGATCTTCAGGGTCCCTTCCAACTTTACAATTCTATGATTCTATGAATACACCTTTTCTAAGCAAGGTAATCAAGAGTAGTTCAGCCCTCACCACTTGGCATGCCTGACCCTGATAATCTCACAATTAGTCTATTGTAATGTACTACATGTGGGGCTATCCTTACACTTTTTTTGGAAGCTGCAGCTAGAGCAAAATACAGCTGATAGCGTGCTCAGTAGGACAACAGTTCTGAAAGATATGCCCTGGCTGAATATTAGCCACCAAGTTAGGGTGAAGGTCCGTTTGCTAACATTTAAAGCCCCAAACAACTTGAAACCTGGGTACCTAGCTGACCACCTTCCCCAGTAAATCCAAGCTTCAAAGTCCTCTGAGGAGATTCTGCTGGGCATTCCACAATCAGTGGACTGTCGCTTGGTAACAAAATGGGAGCAGGTCTTTGATAGTAACACCTTTCTAATATTCGTTTAGCCAAGCTTTCCTGAACTCCAAATCCTAACTTTTAAATTCTTTTCAGTTTTACTTACGATATAAAAAAATATGTTTTTACTGAATTGTTAGAAAGTCTAATTTCAATGTTATTGTTGTATTGTTACATTAATGTTGGGTTTTTCCTGACTTATGTAAACAGTTTAGATCCTTATTCATATTAAGCGGTATATACATTCTGTAACTAAATTTCAGCTGCACAAGCAATAAGGCCAACTCAGTCTACTGAATGGCTTGGTTGTCTCACAAGTGTTTGTGGGGCCATAAGATGCCATGCTTTCTTCAAAGGTTGGGAAGGGCCAAGGAGAACGCATCCTGTGGCTCACTTGCTCAGCAAAGGAGGAAGACAAGAACTGTTTAACCCTATCGCCTCCATTGTGTATTTATCTGTCAAGAACTATATGAAAAGATGTTTCCACATTCTATCCAGAACAGAAAGCTGCAGGTATCTGCTTGCAATGTAGCAGAAATGTTAAAGAGTTTTCTGTTCTATATTTAGAAGTGCAATTTACAAATTCACATTTTACAAATGCAAGAATAAATTCAGCAATATTCAAACACAAAAAATCTTAGCCCTGCATCTGAAATTATTGTCAGGGGTTTTATAACTACCAGAACATTCATAATGTAGAGCAAACACATATTACCAAGTGGTAAATTGAGAGAAGCTCATCTATTTCTCAACTGTGTGCTAAAGTACATATTTAGGGAAGTAGGTTGTAAATATGAAACAGTGCTATTTCAAAGAGGTCATTAAAAATTTGCTCCTGTCTTTGAAGTATTCTCTTTGGGGTGTGGCAGGGAATCTACCTTTTAAAAAATATGGTGGTATTATTGCTCTTAAGTTTCTAATGTACTGTTTTACATTGCTGTTAAGTCTGTGAAGTCATCAATTTTGTATAATTACACACCTTAAAATCTAGATTACTCATACACACACCACCTAGCTAAGTCATCACAGAAAACTGTAACTTCAGGAATATGTCTAAAGTTTCTCACTTAAAAACAAACACCTTTTAAGTTTGCACTCTGTAGTGATCTTGTGATTATGGGGATAGAATCTTTATTATTATGGGTCAAAGAGGCACATTGCACTGAGATTTTCTATTCTACTTCATTACAATTTCTAGTCAGTGTATTCTACAAATAACTAGCAAGTTTTCGTAGTATGCAAACATCGATTTATTGTTCTTAAAGAATACACACACTCACAAAAATTGCAAATATTTAAATGGTTCGAGATGTATCAACAACACACCTGCACCAGAAATCTTAAATATAAACTCTGAAACATGTGGAGAAGTAGAGAAGGAAACTATAGCGATGCGATTCTATAGCTCACAGAAATTTATTCCCATCTTTTTTACTAATAAGATTATCAATTTACCAGCTTTTCCAATTACCTATCTTGAGTGCTACCTTGGTAAGGGAAATATAAATAAGTAACACAAACACATACGAAAAGCCTTACTTAAGGTCTCCAGCATTTTATCACATATTATAGAGTGCATGTCAAGAAAAAAATAATGATACCACATATTTATTAATACAACAACAACAACAACAACGGAAGAAAACCTTACCACTTGGTAAATCGTATCAGGGAATAATTTCCAGCAAAAAAAATACTTTTAATCTTTACTACTGAGTGGTATTTTTAATTCTTTATTTCAGCAGCTGACATCTGCTTCTCAATCTCTAGAAGTTCTGGAATTCCAACATCTAGATTGCACTTTTTGTAAAATATTCATGCGATCTGGAAAATGCTTATGCTGGTCTAAACTACTTTTGGAGAAAATCTTCATAAACCACCATTTTAAACACCATTTGTACAGTTTGAAATGCATACTAAGTACTGGACTACCAACCTGCACAATTACCAATAATTAGATTAATATATTCTGCCACACACACACTTGTTTGAGTTTCCAAAGTGTTCAAGGTGGTACAAATGGTTTTCCTCCTCCCCATTTCCTCCTCACAATAACCCTGTGAGGTAGGTTAGGGCGTTAGGCTAAGAGATGGTGATTGGCCCAAGGTCACCCAGTGAGCTTCATGGCTGAGTCTCTCAGGTCATAACCCAATATTCTAACCATTATTTTTATATTGCTTAGTTTCTATATTAGTGTGTTTCAAAAGTTGTGGGGTGGGAAATCCCTTAATAAATAAATATAATATCTAATCTTTACAACATCCTGTAATACCTGATTTTTGCAACATCCTATCAATTCAAGGGATGCGGGTGGCGCTGTGGTCAAAACCACAGAGCCTAGGGCTTGCCGATCAGAAGGTCGGTGGTTCGAATCCCTGTGACGGGGTGAGCTCCCGTTGCTCAGACCCTGCTCCTGCCAACCTAGCAGTTCGAAAGCACGTCAAAGTGCAAGTAGATAAATAGGTACCGCTCCAGCGGGAATGTAAATGGCGTTTCCGTGCGCTGCTCTGGTTCGCCAGCAGCGACTTAGTCCTGCTGGCCACATGACCCGGAAGCTCCCTCGACCAGTAAAGCGAGATGAGCACTGGCAACCCCAGAATCGTCTGTGACTGGACTTAACGGTCAGGGGTCCCTTTACCTTTAACTGTCAATTCAAATATCTCTGCCACGACTGTACTACAGTATATACTACTGTTAATAACGAAAAAAACAGATCTATGTACAGTGGTACCTCGGGTTACATATGCTTCAGGTTACATACGCTTCAGGTTACAGACTCTGCTAACCCAGAAATATTACCTTGGGTTAAGAACTTTGCTTCCGGATGAGAACAGAAATCGTGCTCCGGTGACACGGCGGCAGCGGGAGGCCCCATTAGCTAAAGTGGTGCTTCAGGTTAAGAACAGTTTCAGGTTAAGAACGGACCTCCGGAACGAATTAAGTGCTTAACCCGAGGTACCACTGTACGCTCCTATGGTCGTGGCAATTCTGATTTGTTTTTGCATTTATATGAAGTATTAAAACTTGAATTCTTCACTATTCATAAATGCAAGCATGGCAAACTGTACAGTAGATAATGGAATTCTGTGTTTATGAAACCGCAAATGCCCTCACTCTATTGTCTAACAGCATAATTATATGCATGTTTATTCAGAAGTAAATCCCACTGATTTCATTAGCTCCAAGTAAGACTTGCAATCCTATGCACCCAAGGAGTGTTTTAAATCTAAATCCTTTTAGTTGTAAACACAGGAACCAGCTCCTAGGGACCATGGAGGCTTTAGTCCCCACAATAAAATATGTGAGGAGGCCAGGCCCCCACAAAGTTGATGGGCATTCTCATTCAAATTGTATGTGTGCACTGCATCATGTGATAGATTATGTGGGCCAGGGCTTACTCGGGCCCCCATAGTATTTTATTCAAGTTGGCACCCCTGGTAGCAAACACAATTTGCAGGAAGCATCATTACAGAAAAGCAAACTTATTTCAACCATGTAAAGTAAGTGTGTCAGATGACAAAATTTCAAATGAATTGTCATATATTGGTAGAAAATACAGCAGATGGAGGAGGAAAAGCATACCTGAAATGCTATAATTAGTAACTTTTGGTTTCTGTTTTTTATTTTATTTTAACGCCAGTAGTTTTATATTGATGTTAAGTTTTGTAGGTGCTAGCATAACATGGCTTCTGTGAGCAGCAAAAATAGAGGAACCAGAACTCCACATTGTCGAGTACTTCCACACACAAAATGCATTGGATACAACGATATATAACATACTGTAAAATGAGCTACTACTTTTTGGAAGTGGAAGACAGCCATGGTTCTCAAAAAAGCTGGCTATCTTTGATTATTTGTGGATTATTCAGTAACATAATGCAGCGGTACATAAAAAAATAAGCTTACTATGACAATAGAAAATTAAACTGCTAGAAGACTAGCTCTTACCATTTAACATTAGAAGATTGTCAGTTCCTGGATGTGGGTAATTCAAACGACCTAAGAACAAATAGTTGTAGGATTTTAGCCATTATATTCAATGGAAAAAAGAAGATGTGCAAAAATACTTAATAAAAATTAAAAAAATCTTATTTATACCCCACCTCTCTAGCTGGGTTTCCCCAGCCACTCTGGGCTGCTCCCAGCAGAATAGTAAAAACACGTTAAAACATCAAACATTTAAAACTTCCCTAAACAGAACCGCCTTCAGATGTCTTCTAAAAGTCAGATAGTTGTTTATTTCCTCGACACCTGAAGGGTGTTCAACAGGGAGAGTGCCACTACCAAGAAGGTTATATATGTGGATACACCCATCCACCATAACTCCATTTTGTTCAAGAGCAGAACCAGCTAATATTTTACTTGATTAGCCAACACCACCCTTGAGCCAACTTAAGTTGAAAGAATGAACTTCTTAACCTTAATTCTCTGGTCATAAGATCTGCAATGTGCTTTGGGATCAGCTCCAAGAGGACAAAGGTTCTCTTTGTTTCAAGAAATCCAGAAATGGTGCCGACTATTCCAAGTCTCCTTTTCCATTCTTACTATGAAAACCTCTACCAAACTGCTTAAACTCAGTCACACTGGAGAAATATCAAGCGGCTCAAATCTCAAACACATCTTCTGACACTACAGTTCAAACAAAATCATTTATTCTGGTATAGCTGGTTTTCATTTACTCCAAACATTTAAATAAATATTTTAAGATAATACAAGTTCTATGTCTGGTACATTTTAGAATTTAAGTTAGAAAATACTAAAGAGAGAAAGAGAGAACTCCTATAATAATTGAATTCTGAATATTTAGAACCACATAGCAAAAGGTTTTGTATTTTACTAAGAAGTTTTAGTAACATACAACAGCTGCTTTGTTTTACTATGATATGGAAGACTGGCATATTACCTCAAGCTCTAAATAAATCTGCTATAATCCCCAAATATATACTAATATACTGCAGCTTTTAGAATCACTGCTCTGTCTTCAGGATGACCGATGACAAATCATGAAGGGTCCATTCATGCAGGACTTTGCATACATAATTTAGATCAACTGAATATATTAAATACTACTGACTCAAATAGGCATCTAAATACATATGAAAGCAGTAATTTCTGTTTTAAGACAGATTTAATTAAACTCTATATAGATTAGCATCCTTTTTCTCATTTTTTAAAAATACAATACTTTACTGAGTGAAATCAGTGTCCAGGACATACAAAAGTAAGGTCCCCTCATTTCAGATCAAAAGCCCCCAAGGTGATTGCCCAGCTGCATCTTCTATTTTTAATATTCTGATTTGGCAAACCTAGTACCACCTATAATCTAACTATGGACAGCACAGGAGAAGGGGCAGCAATGGCACAATTCCATTTAACCCTGCAATTTTTGCACCTTAATCTTAAATAGTTGTAGATTCAGGTAGGTAGCCGTGTTGGTCTGACACAGTCAAAATATATAAATAGAAAATTAATTTTTTTCCAGTAGCACCTTAGAGACCAACTAAGTTTGCTCTGGGTATAAGCTTTCGTGTACATGCACACTTCTTCAGAAGAGTTCCTCCTTTGTTTGCTTCTGTTTAGAGTACAGAACGCTGATCAGAAGTGTGCATGCACACAAAAGCTTATACCCAGAGCAAACTTGGTTGGTCTCTAAGGTGCTACTGGACAATTTTTTAATTTTAAAAAAATAGTTGTAGTTGCCTATGTACTTTCAAGGCAGCTGTACATTTTACTGAGCTAACATAATAGGAGAATGCTGAGCGATGTAATGTGGATATGCTCCAAATAATGCATTATGTTGCCACTCAGCAAATCTTCAGTTTAGGCTCCTAAGGAACAACTTAACAAAATGTTCTCTGCATAAGCCCCATCAAAATGAACTGGAGCAGGTGCAGCACACAATTCTGCACTCCTCATTCCAGATTTTGTGCATGCATCTCTGGAGCTCCTCATTCAACCATTGCAGAATGACGTTCCCATTACAACTGTAAGGGTTATCAAGACAGCGATGAAAGACTGGAAGTCAGGCAATAATAGCATTTTGGGAGAAGTTGTTTAAATCACTGTGAACAAAAATAGAAAAAGCCCTTTCTGGATCAAAAAATGATTAGTTTTAGTAACTTTAAACTATACTAATGATAGTCCTCATCAAATAATTATTACAGTCGTGCATTTAAGGACTCATCAGAAGCCACAAGGATGGTAGGCAGACAAGGCAGTGGGAGATGGTTGATGAAGGATGGAGCCCACCATCCCTCCTCTGTATACCACATAGGAAACAAGTAGGATATCAAAGTAAGGAAGCCCCCCCCCTTCAGTGGACTGGTGGAGGTGGGATAGAGCTCTTGGTTCCTCCTATGCCACCATTGAGAAAACGAGTAAAAACTTTTGAAACTTTGTGGCTTATTTACAAGATTAGATTATTATAGCTATTTAAGGACTATTAAGAGATACAAAACAATGAAAAGGCAACAAGCTGTTACTTCATAGAATTGACATTCTGTTAAATTGCTTTTCTAAATCCTGACAAAATCAAGACCCTGATTAATCCAAGATTTATTTATTTATTTATTTATTCAATCAATCAATCAATCAATCTGTGTTACCCAATTTATTCTTTAAAGTCTGATTTTCAAACATAAATACAATTCTCAATAAAGTAGCAGCACCAGCCTGAGCTCAATGGGACCTAATTCCTATTAAGTGTGTTTAGCATTGTAGTCAATACATACATTGAGTAGGCTATGGTATGCAAACTTATCTGAAAGTTTGTATCCCAGGAAGTCAATGGTGCTTTCTTATCTGTAGATATGTACAGGATAGTGCTGTAGATGAATTTTTAAAACAAACCCAAACTGGGCAAGACTCAGTCAGAATCTAAATCTGAAACATGCTTATAGTTCTAAATGCTTCATTTTTGATGCTACAAATGTAAACATACAGTGGTACCTCGGGTTACATACGCTTCAGGTTACATACGCTTCAGGTTACAGACTCCGCTAGCCCAGAAATAGTACCTCAGGTTAAGAACTTTGCTTCAGGATGAGAACAGAAATCGCACGGCGGCAGCTAAAGTGGTGCTTCAGGTTAAGAACAGTTTCAGGTTAAGAACCGACCTCCGGAATGAATTAAGTACTTAACCCGAGGTGCCACTGTATTGTCAAAAGAATAAACCACAGAACCAAGGCAGCCAGGGAGTTGGCACCTATGGTTCCCAATATGCTTCATTCTTCTGCTCGCAAAGAAGAAATTGATTTAATGGGATATTTGCCTGCAGCATTTCCTCATTTGGGCAGGGAAGAGAACGTGTGATACTTGGATGATGGGTGGTATACAAATTTAAGAAAATAGTAATATTTTTTAAAAGCCCAAAGCTCTCTCCATATCTTTTCCAGGAGAGAACTGTGGAAAAGGGGCATAACTTCCAACAATCACATCTGAATAGGACCTATCTTGCTTTATTCAGTGTAAGCATATGATTAAACACCAATGCAACATTAATTTTTTCAAGTAAGGAAAATACAGTAATGGTCAAAGAGCTCTCCTACAGACTGAAACAGTAACCTACAGTAGTAACATACCTTTAAGAGGATCATGTTCAGCCCTCATTATATCAATGAGTGAATTTTCCAAGGAATGCATATTCAGACTGTCATACATTCTGTTTCGATCCTAGAAAAGAACAAATACATAGCATTAAAGCTAAAAAAAAAGGAGAAAAGGACAGTATTTCTAGAATAATAGAAAGTGTGCTATTGTTAGAATAGTCTTCATTTAGCCTTGTAATAAAGGTCTCTACATAAAATTTCCTTCCAACTGTTGGTACAACAGGACACAGATGCTTCTCAGACATTTTTATAAATCAGTTTTTAAAAACTTACTTTTACTATAAACTAGAGGAAATGAAATATTCTATTGTCAGTGCTTTTCCTCACAGATTGACCCATTAACCTAGTCATGCTTACTTTGAAACAACTGCCATTGAAGTACCGGTAAGTTTGGCTTACACACGTGTATTTAGCATTAACTATATTTAGCATCTAACTAAACAGCTCAGATGCTATTTGGGAATTAGAAGCAAGTGTCTTCTGAAATACAGATTGTTAAAGAAATATGTTCGAACAACAAATAAAATAAAATCTATAAAGGTTAGGTTGGCGAGAAGCAACCTGCTTGGTTTATATGTCAGTTCAACTAGATCTGGCACTTTTCCTTTGCAAACACCATATATTTATAAATGATCAGAATATTTAGAAAGAAACAGCCTCTCTCTCTCTCTGGACCCAGGGTTGTAATGTTACAGGGAACATTCAGGAGACAATCACAGGAGGACACCTAGATTTGACCAGAACCATCTAAGTAAAACTGGTAGGGGAATTATGGCACAATCATTATTTATTTCCTAGAAGTGCTTACTATCCCAAGGAAGAATTAAAAATCAGACTGTTTCTGGTGCTCCTGCTAATATATTCCTCCTCACACAAACAACTCTAGGCATGTCACTAAGGTGAATGGGTAGGAAACAGAGAATGAAGAAATCTATCCCATTTCCTTGTAAAGCCAGGAACAAAATAATGCATGTGCAGATTGTTCTGCAGGTCAGCAAATATTTTTTTCTGAGAGACACTTCAAGAAGAGAGAAGTAGGCCATCACCTCAACCTTTACCCTCTAATGATTTGTTTGCCACAGATGCAGCTTCCTTCACATCTAATCTGCCTACTAGTATGGCATACCACACTGCTCTAAACTATACTATCAGGTTATATTTAATCTGGCAATCAGCCATCACCTTGAAATGAAACGAACACCATGAACACATACACTGCCTTTAGCATTGTTAACAATGCTACTTACGTTTTTGATTATCGAAAGGTTTACAGCAGAAAATGTCACTAATTGATTCATTTGGTTTGTTTAAAAAATGTTTTATTCAGTATTTCTTAATAGAAAGATAAAGCAGCTTATAGTCTAAAATAGTACAGAGACTGAAGCACCTTCTCTGAAGGTCTCAGTTGGAGGAGGGGAGAAGGGATTAATTCCTCCACTTTGGCTATGAGTACCTTCACACACAATGGTTTTCATTTATCTAATTAAGTCAGAGATGACCCTCTACAACTGTTTGGTTGGTTTTGATCCATGACAGGGCCCTTTCCTTGGTGGTTCCCATGTTTTGAATGAGATGTATCTGTTTCCATCATAACAGACTTTCAGGAGGAATTTTAAAACATTTCTGTTTACCCACCCAGACATTTGATGGCCGAAAGACACCACTCTTGGCAACCCTAAGATCACTGGATGAGAAAGTATTTAACCATTTTACTATTCTTTTAAATGTAACTTTTTTAGATGTTAATTAACTATGTTAATGGAGCTCACTGGGGATCCTTCCCCAATAGGTCCACCATTTTGATGCAGGCACTAAGTGAAACCTTCTGAGTATGCATCTATTTTGCTTAAGAAATCTTTAAGAGTGTGAGGTTTTTGTCAGGAAGTCCCTATACTTTGGAACAAATATCTGATTTGTTTCATTGTACAGTAATTAGCTTTTGTGGTACCAATTTTTGCAACAATCACCAATCCTTCTTTATCCAGAAGACAGTGTGTAAATGATACTTGTAATCTATGAAACTGATCACCATAAGTTCCTAAGGACTGGAGCAGGAACAAAAAAAAGGGGTAACATCATGTCTGACTACTGTTCTTCCTGGCCACCATTCCAGCCAGGAGCCATGTTTCATCTGGCCTATGTGAGAAGTCCCTTCCCCTAAGTGATTTCCAATGGAAGCACATTGAAGAACATAAGAATACAATAATATATATTGAAGAATATAAGAATAGCAGTAGCAGGAACATTACACAGCTGTGGAGAGACTTTACTATGACTCCCTCTTTGTTACAGTAACACTATAATATGAGTTATTAACTCTTGCTAATGTAACTAATATGCGCCAGAGATTGTTTGATTGGAGGCTACACATCTTTAAATAAATATTACTTCAATCATCCTAAAAAATCCTTCAATTTACCATCTATTTCCATAATATGTTACATTAGACAGTGAAAAAGGATCATCCTAAAATGATGGAACTGGAAAAATAAACATGGAGGCTACTTGCAGAAAATGGAATAGTATAGTAGCAACCCAATAGTGGTGGAAGGGGACTGCTGTCTAATTTAACTCTTGAACACAATAGTGTAGTTTTCCAGGAATGTAAATTTAGATTTTTCACATGATGAGAAAGAAAAATTAAGGATTGCATACATGTAGTTTTTCCTTTATGGTTGAATGTCTAATTTCTACTTAAAAAACCAGACACACACTTTAAAACATAGCCTAATTAGATTTGTTCATGATACATCAGTTTAACATTCTGTATTATTATACAGAGGGTCAACACCCACATACTCATCTAAATATTTACTGTTTATGCGATTCAAACAAAGCAAAATAGCATCTGATCTGATAAGAGTTCAAGGAAACCAGCTTGACTTGTAACTCAAAACTGTCACTACAGCTCAAGTTGGTTAGTAATCATCTTGCAGGAAATGCACACCATTCTGTAGAGTACAATATAGTAAACCTTCCTTCGCCATTACTTTTAAAATTATTGTCTGGTTTTAACTTTTCAGGCATGCTGTTTTGCGTTCTATAATTTACTTCCATGCAATACAACCCCAACCTTATTTCTAAAGAGAATCATCTGAACAAGAGTCCAATAATGGACTCAAGAGAACATGAAGCTGCAGCACTGCTGAAGCTAAGCAAATCTAAACATTGCAGCCCCGTGTAAGAGAATTCCAGGAGTATATAAATTATTCTTAAAATTGTATTATTGCATGCTACCCAGTTTCTTCTCTTGCAGCTACCCATTAAACATGTATTATAGTGGCCTCTATAGCAGTGTTTCCCAACCTTGTGCCTCCAGCTGTTTTTGGACTACAATTCCCATCATCCCTTGCCACTGGTCTTGCTAGTCAGGGATGATGGGAGTTGTAGTTCAAAAACAGCTGGAGGCACAAGGTTGGGAAACACTGCTCTATAGTACTGACAAGTCAGGGAAAGGGGAGCTATGATTTTAAGCCTATATATCACGTCTATGTATCACCTCCAATTTCTCAGATGCTTCATCATAATGAAGCCAAATTTCTTGCCATAGGAACCTGCTTTTCTTTGTTTTAAAGCAGACATGGAGAAACATGTGGCCCTCCAGATGTTTTTCTACTCCAACTGCCATTAGCTCAAGCCAGCAGAGCCGATGATCGGAAATGATGGGAGTTGTAGTGCAGGAACATCTGGAGGGTTTCCCATCCCCAACTTAAAGCAACATATACATTGACTGCCATATAATAATACAATACTGAACAGTGTCGGTACTAAATATGGGCATAATTGTAACTTGTGCTTGTTTATCCTAGTCGATTGAAAAGGGTGTGGGATCATTGCCTCTTGGGAAAAACCATTACTCCAACTATTAGCTTTTCTAATCTTGGCTGCCCTTTTATTCCTAAAGCATTTATTTAAAATTAAATCCCTATGGATTGACTTTAGCTGTAGTAGCACAAAAAACATGAAAGATTCCAAGTATCTAAAGTCGCAATCTACACATTGCAAAACATCCAGTACTGCCCAGCACTGGCAAACAACTACACATTATGGTCCACAACAATGCACTTTTTCAGTCTAAAAGACTTTTGAAAACCAGTTCACAAGTTTTTCAAAAATTTAGATTTACAGCACAGACTAGCCTGTTAAAGTATTAGTAGTGTGCTTCCAAAGCACCTTTCTGACAGTTGTGGGGGGTTGGAGTGTGTGTGTGTGTGTGTGTGAGAGAGAGAGAGAGAGAGAGAGAGAGAGAGAGAGAGAGAGAGCGCTGTAGGTGTTTTGCATGAATTATTTTAATGGTATAATTCATGTTTATGTTTTTAGATGTGTCATAAGAAACTTGGAGACCTTTGGGTAACAAGTCACTACCAAATCTAAGAAATAAAACAACAACAACCATTATCACCAAACTTTGAATCTTAGTTTGACCTGAGTGTCCAATGCACTGTAGAACCTGAAGGACAAAACATGCACAAATATGTATAGTCAGTAGGGTTCCTCCAATCAATGTTGTAATTTGAAGGTTGTAATCTAATACTCACTTACTAGGAATGAAACTGCACTAGAATTTATTCTTGGGTAAACATGCTTAGGATTGCACTGTATGTTAGCTAATGTCCAAACACAAGGAGGACCCACTGAACAAACCTACAACCGTGTTCAACAATGTTCATGTGAATGTAAGAAATTCATGCAGGGATTCTGAACTAGCAACAAACGTTTTAATAGCAAGAATACACAACACTATTTTCTCCCAAAGGAGCAACATGTTCAATGAGGTTACAAGAAGCTATCCTTGAGCACTCCTTGGTTCTGCTGCCTACAGTGCTAGACAGTGTTACCAGGGAACAGCAACAGAGGGAACTTACTCCTGCAACATTCACATGAATAAACAATGAAGGAGCCAGAACAGAATGTTACTCTTCTCTTTAAAGAGCATTCTGTACCCTTGTTTCTTCCTCATTTTAATTCTTCACTCAGTGTAAACAGTACAGAAATTAAATAACTGCAAGTACTTAAAGCACATTTGTTAATCTGAAGTTTCCTCAAATATGACCTAAGTGCTTG